TTTACAAATAACTTGAAGGGCAACTGCTGACTTTTTATCTCTCCTCCTTGGCTCAAGACTTGAGGTATGCAGAGGCCCCTGACTCAGAGCAGCATATAAAATGGAGTGCAACACAGAGCAGCAGGATCTAGCTCAGACCAAACAGTACCTAACAGGCCTAGGGCTTTGCCTCAGTTTGCAGTTGAGACCAGGTAACAGTCAGAATGCAAAAACAGTTATCCAGAAACTGTCACTATAACAAGTGAAAGATTAATCACATCTTGCTTAACTGACTAATGTTCATTTACTTGAGGCAGATGTGTACAGCCATGAGGAAAAAGAATATCTTGAATAACATCTACACCCAAGCATTACTGTGTTCCCCTTCACTATTTCTCCCACCACCACCCAACTATATCTACACACATATTAGCCATTAAGCTCCACAAAATACTTTGTCAGCAAGAATTACTTAAGGCAAGCAATGTTTAGCATAAGTTTATTTGCATAAGAATTTTCAGAATCACCAAGGTCCAAAACCCAGTTTCCAAGAACGACAACTGAACACCACAGTGCAGAACAGCAGACAGTTACTTGTAACCAATCTCACATTTGGGCTTATCACAAATACAAATATTTCTAGTACCTTGTTTTGCCAGCTTAAAAAAAACAAAAAACTCACTTCTTCCAAAGAGGTATGAGACAGATTTTCCAAGAGCTGACTTATTTTAATAGTAAAAAATAAAAGATGATAAAACATAGGAAAAAAGGCCTTTTAAATTTCAACAGAAAGTGCAATTTTAATCAGAAAGAGACAAGCCCTATCCAGACACTTCAGTGAGCAGCCTTCTCTTCCCATACAAGAGAAAAAAAGACTGCTCCAATCATTCCTCCCAAAGCTTCTACAACTATAGCTCAGCATCCCACCTTCTAACTAGTTTCACTGAAATTAAAGAATGTATGTGAAAAACACTTCACCATATTTAACAAATGGTTGGCTAAGACTTGGATGCAAAAGCCAGAAGTATTACCATTCATTTGGCTCTCCCAATGCCCAGATTAGACCACATTGCTAGTGACTACAGTCAACCTACTTCTTATTCCCATGCCTCACAATTATGGCACCTTGATTAAATGAACTGAACAAGAGGGACAGTAAACAAGTGCTGTCAGTACAGCTTAGAATTGAAGCAATTTTCCCAAGTTCTCTTGTCAGAGGCCTTTTTCTAAGCACTCAGTTATAAGCAGAGATCACTACCAACATTAGTAGTTATCTTAGTGATCACAAACCCACAAAGCCCAGGCACAAAACATACTAAATGCGTAATCTCAGAACTAAATGCCAAAATACGAATCTTTAAGTTTCAATAAGCTTTAGGTATCTGGACTAGATTTCAATACTATCTACTGCTTTGTAGACAATATTAGTTTCCAAGCATGAGGAACTTGTGAAAAATGGTTACTCAAATACAAGCAGTAGTTTTCAATGCCCCAGCTTGGTGACTGACTAAATTAGTTGAAGACAAACACAGCAACAACAAAATTTTGATCCAAGGGAGCATGAAGTATACTTCACCTTAGAGCTTTTCAGAGTGACCGTGGATCAAAATAGGGATTTTACCAAAATGACTAAAAACTCAGCCTATTACTAGGTCTCCTCAGTAGCATCTTTATCAAATAAAAAAATAATCTATCTTATAGTGAGGAAGTCCCAGCAATAAACTGTAAGTCAAGGAAGGGAAACTTGGCAATAAATACTGACAACTGCTGCTTAACCTCAGGCTGGCTTAGCCCAGTAAAGCTTATAAGCTACAGGAAGAAAACAGCTATTTTAAGCCACAGTCTAGTTTACTAGAAGCCCTGTCCTGAGGAATGATGCACTAATAGAAGACTGGCAGTCTAGTGTTACTGCAGCTTTGTTTCCACACCACTGCCCAGAGGGAATGTGTTAGGGTAACAGCCTGAAGCATAGTAGTCTCTCTTTAACCTCAACTTGACACACAAGTGAGCAACAGAGGATAGAGCTGGTTTGCAGAGGCATCAGTAAGTACTGATGGGAGACTGAACCAGACAGGCAGCCTAGGTGAGGATCATCACTTTTAACCATGTCCCAGCAATCCCTTATACAGTAGGGCCAATGCAGTAGGTGGCATGCAGCTTCAGGATACAGTTTAACTATTCAAAAGTTTAGCATCCAGGCTACAAAGCATCAATATTTCTAATATGTCAGAGCAATTTAAGAAGCAGGCAGGGAACACAGCAGTCCTGCACAGCTTAAACCCAGGAATTTGGCCCTTCAACATAAAGCTTTCTTAGAGGCCTCAGCAATAAGTTACATCAGCAAAAGCACAATATTGATGGCAGAAACCTTAAATTCTCCATAGCTATATCTCAGCAGAAATACATTAGATCCTTTTTTTCCCTAGCACCCCCTTTTCCAACAGATGCACCTGGCCTGATGTGCAGCAGCCAAGGCATTCAAAGACTAGCAAAATATAAGCCTGACTACTTCAAGCTTGTGAGGACTACTCCTGAGCATCAGACCACTTCTTCCACATGAGCTGATGCACAGTAACAGTTTCTAGAGATCAGCCATGATCTGCACAAGACAAGCAGGTGACTCCAAGCTATTTGATATGCAAACCAAGCATGTCCCTCAAGGCACTGGTTTACTTCTGCAATGGGTATAGCTTAGGTTGGCTTTAAAAACACCTATTTAAGAGATCATAGCAATTACAAACTCCTAAGCAAAGTACTTCCTTCTTCTAATGACACTAAGCCAAATATTGTCTTGCATGCATAAGTTAATCATGTCTAGCTTTGCATTCCAACAGTAACTCTGCACTAAGTTTAACACCCATGATAACACTGACATCATGTTAGTTTTTAAAAAGCCTTCCAAATTCTCAAAGTCTTGGGTGAGAGATGTCTTGTCTGTAAGCCACATCAAGTCCAAGCCACAGCTAATAAAATGTCTGGGTTCACTTTCAAGTTTAGCTACTTTGGCTGACTATTCAGGAAGCCTTTAATGAAAAAAACACAACAGAAGAAACCAGATTACTTGTCTGTTTACTACTGAACTTGCTTACAAGGCTGTTAAAAAAATTAAGCTAGAGCATGCTTGGCAACAATCTGCTTTCTAGCTTGTATCCCTCCCTGCCTTCTTAAGCTAAGTGAAGTCTGAACAAAAGAGTAGCCTCACTGCTCTACTGAGACAATCTTTATGAAGTAGTTAAAAAAATGAGAAAACTTGGAACATAACTAGGTTTTGGTCCTATAAGGAACAGGCAGGGTATTTCTGCCATTCAAGTGCTGTACTGCTACTGTTTTCCACCTTGAATAGCAACCATACATTGGTGTTTTACTTGCTTTCTGCTTTACCTTCTAAGTTTAAATAATTTGTTTGATCAGGCACTTTAGTCTCACAAGCTTGCAGAGACAGCTAGAAATCATAAAAAAGGCTTAGCAAACAAGTATTCTTAAACATTGCACCAGTACATATTACATAACTAAGATTTGCTCTTCTAGTCTAATTAACTGGTTAAGCAAAAGAGATTGAAGATAATTTGCTATATGTATTTTACTATTGCAATTCAGTGAAAATCATCCACTAGTAATATACTAGTACCTTGTACCACTATATAGATAACTGGGGACTTTTTAACCTTCCTTATAAAAGCACAGGAGTTTCAAAAGAGCAAGATCAGCCCCCACCCTACAGGAAGGTCGGCCCCTCTTCTTCCAAGGGGGCAGACTTTAACCACATACAGCCTCTGTGGAGAACTCTGCTTAGGGTCTATATACCTCTTCAAGTGAAGGTTAAGACTAGTAAAGAGGAAGGATTTTACTCTAACCACTCAAAATACCATTTCATACAGTGACCAGGTGATAGTGAAAAGCCAGTAAATTCAACCCTTTAACAGTGACAGGTAAACAAGCCTTCAGGACCTGCCTGAAGTTGTGCAAGAATAAATTCATTTAAGGAGGCACTTTAGGAATTTATACTGTGGCAGGAGTGCATATCATCCTGCCACTTAGTGAGGTTTTTTATTGGGAGGGCTGTGGTTTTTTATGGGGTTTTATGCCTGCTGTAGACCTGTGAGGAAGAAAGTTGGGCCAAACCTCAGCACAAGAGCTGCACTACTTTTCAACTGTGCCAATAATCGTTTTGAAAGATGACATCAAAAAGGCTTTATCTTGAGCCTCGACTTAAGTATTTTTCCATATTAAGTACTCAAATTGTGGTTCCAATTCTATTTACAGCTTCAATTCCTCATTTCAAGGACTTTCCACATTAGCAAGTTTTAGATCCCATTTTGGTGCACGTTTAGAGATGCCACCTTCCAAATTTTTGTACTCATGAAAAATTTGGCCAGCTTATACTTGAGATAGATTTACTAATCCATTCAACTTGCAATAAATTAATCTTGAACTTACAGCAGGACCATATATATTAAAGGAAACCCTCTACAAGACAGACAGTATCCATATGGTTACCAGTTCTATACAGCCAAAAATGTAGAAGCAGCCCAAGTACAACACAAGCCCACTCTTGCACAATTAGTTCAATAGAAAATTAGCCAGAACTTGAATGGAGGAAGTGTAGAGTAATGAGGTTAGGCAATAGAAAACAGAGTTTTGCTGTTATTCCAGGAGTAGATTCTGCTCTGCTCAAGATACTTTAGTCTTTCCTCTATTAACTAACCTAGTTTATTGAATACTCTTAGATAACGTGCTAATAGCCACTTCCAGAACTAAGAACCAAGTTTTGTAGCTACTCCTCTTAACAGTTGGCTGCTGGTTCTCTTCTCCTAATGAAGAGGTAATAAGGCTTCTTGGCATTCATAGAGATGTACTGAAACGTTCATAGCAGGTCACCTGGTTGCATATTCCTACTGCACACCAGGAAATGGACAGTCACATACAGTCATGTTTCCATTAGAAAAATCTCAAAAGTGACAGTTTCTTCTTCTCTACATACACTCAGCATCTTGGCCTTCAGTAGCCTCCACTCAAGACTGCTCAAGTGAAATGATCAATTGCAAGGCAACCAAGTGGGGTAGGGCTGGCTGTATGGCACAGGAGCACTTGCAAGATAGTAATTGCTGAAGTTTACATCACTAACATAAGGTGCTGGCTGGTAATAACAGGTAACATTAGTGGCATTAGGGATGATGTTTTGTTCTGCCAGTACTTTGAGTGCTAGCAGAGAAATCAAGTTGAGTGTCTGCCTTCGCTCATGTCCCATGAGACAGACCGTGCTCTCATTCACCACCCTGCGCAGAATCATGAGGTAGTCATATTTACTCCTCTCTTCCTTGGAGAAGTGATTCTGGAGGTAGGTCTCTAGCTTGCGCTGCTGATCCAGGATGTCTGGGAAGTCTATGAAAAACCGGGAGCACATGTAACGCTCTAATGTTTTGATCTCATCCTTATCCATGGGCCTGAAGTCTCGCACCAAGAGGTTACTATACTTTAGAAGCCCACCACCTCGGATCTCTTCAGGATTTTTGGTAGCTATCAGCTTGTTCTGGAGGTGATCAAACGCTGCTTCAAAGTCTCCATACATGCTCTCCCCGATCACAGTTGGATGGAAATGCTCTGACATGGGGGTCTCCGAATAGTCATAGTAAAAGAGCAGGGAGTCCAGTATGATTTGGAAGGAGTCCACACTGAACTCAAACTGCCGTCGTATACAGTCTACAAACTTCAGCTCCACATTCCTCCCGTGTTTGTTGGAAAGCGATATCAAGCTCCAACGGTCAGACTCCGTGTACACTTTAACTAGCTTCTGGATGTAGGCTTCCTTCAGTGTTACTGGACTGATTTTCAGCTTGCTTACTCCTTCTGGCAAGAAGTTCAAGAGGGATCGCAACACCACATCTCGAACTAACTGAAACTCTGCCTCATTTGGAAGAGAAACTTGAAAAATGAGATCCAGGTCTTTGCATCCCAGCCCATTATCCTTGACTAGGACATGACCAGCTGCAGAGCCATTCAGACGGACATCATGTACCACAATGCCTGCTTCACTCAGCCTACTCCGCACAGTCTGAACAATGTCCTTCAGAGTTATCTTCAGCGTTGGGAAGTTGCCTCGTCCATGGATCGGAACCACCTCTGTAAGAACCTCATGCAGACGGCTGACCTGCTCCCAGTTCAGAACACTGCATGACATACAGTCTGTGTTACTTCCTTTGCCTGCCATCTTAAGGTTTTTCTTCTCCAAAGAAACTGTAGGGAGGTGGAATATAAAAAAAATGACAAGTCAGACTTTCTGTTCACACTTCCTAGATAAATCCTATGCTCAGCTTTTCTGTCTACACACAGACACAACCTAAAAAGAAATAATTATGTGTACTGATGATTATGAGCAAGCATTTCACTTGAAGTGATACACAGCTTCTTTATTAGCCAAGGCAAAAAATTTCATTGTCATTGTCTGATTTGTTTTGTTTTGTTGTTTTTTGTTTGGTTGTGGTTTTTTTTTTGTGAGAGGTCAAATTAAGTACTTCAGCAGTTTGTATCAAAAGGAAATTACACAAGTTTTACCTCAGTTTAAGATCACCTGCAGCACTAGATGAAGCCAGATGAGCTTTAAGTGCAAAGAACTTCTGAAAGTTAAGCTTTGGACTTCTTTCATTATACTTAAAGCTCAAACAGTGGAAAACACTCAGGTGTTAGTTTCAGGGCTTAGATACCCAGTCCATTGAAAGCATTCTAATTGTGCTAGAGACACAGGATTTCTTTTTTTTCATAGAAGTTTTTCCTTTCTCTACCATCCACCGCTTGTGGGATAAAGAGGCTAACTACACCTTTCTTCTGCAAAAAACTGCAGCACTCCAGCATTCTGGGCAGAATTTCTGCTGCAAAGTCAGGTAACTATTTGGTTTACGTTGCAGTCCCCATAAGCAACTCTCTACTCTTCTTCAGATACATTACATAATCAAACTATCTTTTTGGAAGTATTCCTTCTTGCCCCAGCCTTGTGCTTATTTGTGGAGGGCAGGCAAGCTTGTAAGAGCTGGCATATATTTAGATGATGTATATCATGTTAGCATTACTCTTTAACACTAAGGACTTGAGAACCTGACTGACCAGGCTTGGGCACAGCCTCATCTGAACTTTTGCATGTTTTAAGGAGTCTTGTCACAGTTGACCAGATCACTCTCTTGTGCTTAAGTGGCTTGTGTCTTGAAGCATGCAGATACTTAAATCTGTTCTACAGTCACATAACTCCAACCGGTATTAATACACTTTTCTCTTTTTAAGTGTTCCAGGTTTCTACTGCAGCCAGGTGCTTCCTGACAGATACAGTCTAATTGGGGTCTCACCTTCTTCTGCCCCAAGTACTTGTGAAGACTGCAGCTGGCAAGGTTGGACTGGTCAAACTTAAGCTAATTAACTCTTGCCTACCCAAACTGTTAAAAACCCAACCAATTTCCTAACATGCATCAACATAGTGCATGAAATACTTTTTAAAAAAGATTCAAAGAGGATCTATTTCAAATTAATGTCTGTCCTCTTCCAATGTTTAATTTTTGAACAGCTTGTTTGACCTGCCACCTCCTCACAGGAAAGGTCAAATCCTATATAAAATGCACAGTGTAAAAATGCTCCTGCAGAAGCAATTTCTGCTTTTGAGCATGAGCTGCTGCATGACAAACTCCGCTGCAGGTCACATCAGCTCCAGCAGGCACAAAACAAACATGTCCTTTGCAAGATGGTTAGCTCATGACAGATCAAGGGGTTCTTATTAATCAGTCCTTAAAGCTACAACACAGCATAAACCCAGAGACATTAAGCTTGCCAACAGTCGCCCTCAGGCACTTCAAGCACATTAAAGCACATTTTAATCATAAACCCACTGTATTTTCATTAAATCCTTCAGATAGCTAAAGAATACAAGAGTCTTCCATGACATCCCACTGAAGCTGCAAGTACTTCCAGCTACTACCTCTGAAAGCATTTCCTCTCCTCTTTCTTTCCCATCTGCAGTCTTCTCAGCAACCAAGACAACACAGACAGCCCACCCAGTAACCAAAAAGGACTGGGAGCAGTGCTTTCCACCCACTACACATACTTCATTCTGCTTAGCAATCCTCACCTAGGAGAGCAACACACATTGCTGCCCTTGTGGAAATAAAAGGAGCTATTTCGTTTCCAGTTCAGTGGCGAGTTTAATCCTCAGGGGTGTCAACCCACAAAGCCTCCCAACCCCAAATCGCAGGTTTGCCTGCTCTGCAAACAATTATGTCAGTGACAAGATCTTTAATGTCCTTGGGACACTATCAGTTCACATGCCTCTCGTTTGATCACCAACGCCTTCCACCACAAGAAGATCCGATCCCTGAAGATGCTCATTCACTGTGAAGAAGCCCAGACAAGGCACTACCTACTTTTTAACACCAAGAGCAAAGAGCTGTGTAGCTGCAGACCTCAAGCGAGCGGCAGAAGGGACAAGGGTGCTTCCCCTTTCTCACCTCCCCGCAGCAGGAGGCTTCCCGATATGACATACCAATTGCCGCACCGCCTCCAGCAAATCCAGCCGGCGGCAGCAAGCAGCC